GCCACAGGTGTGGCCGGAGGCGGCCGCTGCCCCCTCCCCGGGGCGGGACGGCTGCGGGAAGAGGCGCCTCGGCCCGGGGCAGGCGATGCCCTCGGCTCCGGACCCCGGCCCCGCCACCGCTGTGGTGCGGGCAGTCGGGAGCTGCTGCGGGAGCCCGGGATTGGAGCCCGTCAGCTCAGCGGGGACAGGTGAGCTCTGACGGGGCGGCACAGCCCGCACCGCCCCCGGGCTGCTCGCCAGGGCCGGCGAGAGCCTTGGAAGATCCTCCCGTGGCACCGCACGCTCTGCACCGGCCCACGGCAGCACCGCTCCAGGAGGTCACGCTCTTTCCCCGTCAGCCAAAAAGGCCAAGCTCCTTGGATATCCCTCAGTTATAGGTGTTCCTACTAAAGCCACGGGTGAACAGCCTCTTCTGCCTCCTGGGCTGCACTCAGCTACCCCTGGCAAAGGGGCAAGTGGAGGAATTTCTCAGTGGCTTTTGCCCAGATACCGGGGAGGCTGTGACAGCCCCACCTCGGCTGCAGTGTAGCAGCTGCCTCTCCTAAGCAGTGTTCCTCAGCTGGGGTACATCAAGAAATGCAAAACTGTACAGAGAGGATAGATGCAATTTATTAAACCAGTTGGTGTATTTATCAACATTTGATATGCATATGAATGCTTTGGTCAAGCAGATGCAACATGGGGACAGACTAATCCTTTCTCCTGGATTCTTCCTACTGAGAAACAAAGCCTTGAACCTGCATCTCCCCAAGCTGCGTGTGTAACTTTTGGAAAGTAAATCCTGCACTTCACATTCTTATCTGCCCCAAGGATGGTGATTCACCACCTCTACAGCTCCAGAGAGCTCTGTAAAGAACAGTGGGGCCACATCCCTGGATGGTGGAAGTCTCCAGACTGTCACTACAGGAGAAGTGCTCTATCCCATAAATGAGAAGCTCTGAGGTAGGTAGTTTTTCCCTATCATCCCAAGAGAGACAGGCCTTTCTCCACAGACTTGGTTTGTACCTCACAAGTTTGTTTTCCAGAATTCAACTATCAGAATACATCTCTCAGCTGAGATTTAGTGTCTCCATTCGCAAGACGGAAGGGGAAGCACATGCTCTGGCATGAACAGGTCCAAGGTACCCCAAGGTGTATGACACCAGATACCAAAACCTCACGTCTCAACAGCTCAAGGAATTTTAGCATCACCCATTACCATATGGCATACTGACCCCACTTGGTTCCCCAGCACTGTTATTTGTTCACTGGACCAGGAGTGACTATTTTATTTTCACTGATTTATATACATTTTAATGATTTTAAACTGGACTGTGTGAAAAGGGATGCATTAGTTTTGGAAATGCTGGTATACCCCAAAGAAAGAAATAATGCAAAAAAACCACCCCAACTCAGACAAGCCAAACCACTGCTCAGCCTCCACCCGTCCCAAACATCCCCTAGAGATGCTGCCAAAAAATTACAGTTGAATTAATGAGGCCTCTGAAGATTTGAGGCATCTCTCTTTCCAGCCTGGAGCTGGGAAACATGATGTGGCATTTAAAAAACTCTTGCATATTTCTGAAGTTAAAGCCATGCTGATAAAATGCCACACCAGTCCCCTCCCACACGGAAGTTGGGAGCATTTGGATCCGAAACGCAGCTTATTCCTCTTGCCTAAGAAGTAACTGAGACATAAGAGGTCCAGCACAAGTCAGCTGTTGAGGGTGCCCAGAACCAGGCACTGGGTCATCTCACTGATCCCGGACTAAGGCTCTGCTTGCCAATAAAACCAGAGCCCTTTTTCAGAACTGCTTTCTCTGATCTTCCCATCTTACTCCTGCTGGGGCAGCAGATTTGGAAAGCCAAGTGCTGTGTGCACCTACACCTTTTGCACTCAGACTGTGTCCCTGGGGAAGCTCCACGTTTATTTGCTATGGAGAGCATGAGGTCGGTCACAGCTCATCTTCCAGCAAGGCAAAAGGAGGGCACAGAGGTCAGGAATCAGGCCAATTTCACACTGCTGGCAGCCACTGGACAGAACACCATTTGCAGGCTGCCCTGATACATTAACTTTGAATTGACAGTGCCATGTTTCATGGGTAAGCTGAATGAAAATTTGTCAGCTCTGTCCTCTGGAAAAGCTGTGTGTGTTTTGCTAAATCTCCGTTTATATGGAGCGGTGAAAACCAGCGGCAATCTAGGGCAAAGTTAGCCATGGAAAAACAGCGCCTG